TAAACTTTTAAGTAATGCTTCGTAATCATATTTTCACCACAATATTATAAGTGTGTTTTGTGTATTGCGTTTATGTATATATTTATTACATGGAATTGCATGGTGTCGTCAATAGATAGAGTGTTTTGAATTGTCGAGCACAAACACATTTAAAAAAAAAAATCTCATGCCGTGCATCGCACGGGTGAGATTACTAGTTACAATAATACAACACTTCAACTGATGCTATATGGTAAAACATAGAGGAAGAACAGAGAAAGCTAGATGTCTAAATGCATATGCTCACAACCAGCATTCCGTCGATCAATAACGCCCATTGCTTGGGAAGTGTCTCCTCTCTTTCTCTTGCCTACACTGGAAAAACACTTGAAACAACCAGGTAATGGAGCATCCCCTTTTTTCAACCAAGTGTCTCAGAGTGCATCATGATCAGATACCCACCATTGTATTTCGCAGTGGTTCAATGAGCATGTACAGAGGTGCTAAAACATTTCTTTCAATCTAAAACTAAGATTTTGATTTGATAAGCATAGGATCGGAAGAGAGGAGCAAGACTACAACCAATAAATAATTTATTTTGTGTTTGTTCTTAGATTCTCGTAGACCTGCACCAGTAGTAGCGACATCAACTTCATAGAAAAACAAATACATCACGGTAATCCTTAGCTTGGATGATGAGTTATTTCTCCCAAACCTACAATATTATAAAAAGCACAACAAGATTAATTGATTGACAGTTTAAAAGAAAGATTAATGTCAACAATTACAACCCCTTAACAATCTTACTGTCTTGTATCGCTCCACACCACCATATTTGTTTTTTTGTCATTATAAGTAATGTTGTAATGCACTCCCTACTTGGTAATGTGGAATAATGAAGGAGAGATTGCTAGTGACTTCAATGACAAGGGTTTGATTACTTTCAACCAGACCATGATAACCATTAGTCTAATCTATAAATATTATATCCCTTATAGTGACTCCATATCTATGTCACTAATGTTTGAATGTCTCCTACACAACAGAACAACAATTCAATGAAGTCCACCTATAGTAACCATAATGTATTTTTCCATATGTATGCTCAAATTTCCAGGTGCAGTGAATAGTGAAACTGTTTTCAAAGAGGTAATTCACAAGAGATGTAATAAAGTGAACACTTCAAAATCACAAAACTATCAGAGTACGATGGTCTCATGAGAAGTTGCAGCACTATCAGAGTCAAAACAGAATTACCAGGCCCCCAAGGCTTAATACAACTCAACTTTAAAGTTCAATTGTTCGCAAAACAAATATTCCAGTGAAAGGACAATAGATTATACTTATAATTTAGCTAACAAAAAGAAAAGTTAATGCAAGAATTTAATTTTTGAATGATACGTAGTAATTGCTAACAAAAATAAGGGTAGAAGGGGTGGAAGAACAACCTAGAAAGCATTGCTATGTAAGGACGACAGGCAAGCTTCTCGAGTTCTCGATATATGGCTCTTCCTCTCTTGTGGCAACCTGTAATCACCGATCTAACTTCTCTCCCTCATCATGGGAGATTCCATTTATCTCATTCATCACAATACACTTTATCACCTAGTCTGTGATTCGAGCTTTTCAAACTGCAAAATTAGTCTGGTAGTGGGGTCTGTATAGGATGTTCCTAGAGTCCGGTCTTCCTCTTAGAGTGGAATTGTCAGATTAAATTGAATGTCCTGAATCTACCAAAGCTCGAAATTCAGACTGCCTCACATCACTTCAGATTCGAAATAGTGGAGGAAGCAGGTGGACAAGCGGCAATCCGAGCTTTTGGTGGAAGAAGCAGTCGAGACTTTCATTGAAACCAGAAGAATGATAGAGAGGAGAAGAGGAAGAGAGAATAACCCGAACCCGCATAACCCGCCCGACCCAACTCTACTCAACTCTATTTAATCGGGTATTTGATTTTAAAAAATATTCATAGATTAAATATGTTTGAATCCGCATCTAATGGGTAGGGTTGTGGAATTGAAATATCAAACTCCATAGTACCCGACCCAGCCGAAGTTTATTTTACTATCATTATGCTACAATATTTTCTTGGATAATTTTAATTTAAGACCAATGTGCACTATCTGAAACTTCATGATATTAGAATTATAATTAAACATTTATCATTTTGACTATGTGACTATTATATATATATGTTTCCTTCTAAATGAACTTCCTTTACAGAAGACTATTTTAATACTTACATACGTAGTAATCTTTTTGTTTATAAAAGATAGGGAAAAAGGGTCAGATAGACCCTTGTACTTACATAAAAAAAGGTTAAATAAACCTTTATATAGGAGACTTTGTCCGGCCGTCGCCATTTGAGTTAGTTCTCTATGGAATTTTTTGAAGAATTTTTTTTAGCGTCTTATTCATTAAATCTAGTTTACTCATACTAAACTTCAGCTAAAATTTCAATCAGAAAGGCATTCAAATAAATTCTTGAAGATAATTGTGCAGTTAAAGAGCGCAGTTATCTTCAAGAATTTGGTATGAGTAAACGAGACGTAATGAATAAGATGGTCAAAAAATTTCATCGAAAAGTTCCATTGGGAACCGCCTCAAATGAAGACTGCCAGATAGAGCCTCCAATATAAGGGCTGAATTGACCTTTTTATGTAAGTACAAGGGCCTATCTGACCATTTTCCCTAAAAGATACGAATACTTGTATTTGTTCGAGTTGGTTAATAGTCAACCCAAACAAATCATGCATGTAGGCCCAAAAAATATAGCAAACCCGACCCAACCCGCCCGATGTGCAGCCCTACAAAGGAGAGGTGATTGAATAAGGCTTTTATGACTTTGAAGACTATTTTTGAAATAAGGAAATAAAAGTGAAATAGTGAAAGTCCAAATATGAAAAAGAAAGAGAACCGGGCTATAAGAGCATCTCCAATGCAATGATGCATTGGAGATGATGTGGCAACCCAATGGAAAAAGTCTATTTGATGTATGGACAAATTTTCTTAAAATTGATAGGGTCCATTCAAGTTGTGCTTCAATGCAAAAAAATAAATAAAGCGAGTGCACTTCCATCAAAGCCTCCAAGGTGAGACCCAAGGTCCATATATAGATCCCATGCTAGACCTTGTCTCTTTTTTGTGATTGCCAACTAAGCATGACAATGTCCATTTCTTTTTACATTGGAAACTATATTTGCAAACAAAGAGTCTATTTGCTTATGTGAAATAGCAATCCACCCACACATTGGAGATGCTTTAAACGAAATGCAATGAGGAAAGTAGACCGAGAAGCTGTTCTCTTCGCCTGATCTGAATGTTTCTGATCTGAATTTTTTAAGTTCTGATCTGATCTGATCTGAATTTTTCTGATCTGATCTGATCTGATCTGAATCTTTCTGGTCTGATCTGATCTGATCTGATCTGAATCTTTCTGATCTGATCTGATCTGAATCTTTCTGATCTGATCTGAATGTTTCTGATCTGATCTGAATCTTTCTGATCTGATCTGAATGTTTCTGATCTGATCTGAATCCTTCTGATCTGATCTGATTTGAATGTTTCTATGATTATAATTATGATTATGATTATAATTATAATTATTATAATTGCAATTACAAATATAATTGAAATAAAATTATAATTATAATCGTAACTATAATAATAATAACAATAATTAAAATTAAATTTAAAATGAAAAAATTTATACCTCTTACACTAATTATAAATATAGATATAGTTATAACTGTAATTATATTTTTAATTATAATTACTTATACAATTATAATTGTAATTAAAATTACAATATTTATCTCTATAATTGTAACTATAGTTATCAATATTATTATAATTACTCCGTAAAATAATTACAATAGTAATAACAATAATAATTAATATTATAATAAAAATAATAATTATAATCATAAATTATAATTATAATATAATTATAAGTATAATTATAATTATTATAAATATAATTAATAATAATTATAATTATATTAAAATTAATTATAATATTATAATATAATAATATAATTATAATTATTATAATTATAATTAATAATAATTATAATTATATTAACATTAATTATAATATTATGATATAATAATAGTACTATAAATACAATTAATATTATCATAACGATATTATTATATTAATATTATTATTATTACAATATATTAATAATAATACGATTATTATTATTATTATTATTATTATTATTATATTATAATATTATATTATAATTATAATTATAATCATAATTATAATTATGATTGTAATTATAATTATAATTATTATAATTATAATTAATTATAGATATAATTATAATAATTACAATTGATTATACTTATAATTATAAGAATTATAATTGTAATTATAATTATAATTACATATAATTATAATATAATATTATAATAATATTAATCATATTATTATTATATTGTAATAATAATAATAATAATAATAATAGTCTTCTTAATAATTGCATTTATATTACTATTATTATATTAAAATATTATAACTATTATTAATATCTTATTTCTTTATCATATTATTATTAATATATTAATAATAATTATATAATAATAATCATAATAGTAATAACAATATTAATAATAATAAAAGTGATAAATCATGTTTGAACTTTTCTGATCTGATCTGATCTGAATGTTTCTGATCTGGTCTGATTTGATCTGAATCTTTCTGATCTGATCTGAATCTTTCTGATCTGATTTGAATCTTTCTGATCTGATCTGAATCTTTCTGATCTGATCTGATCTGATCTGAATCTTTCTGATCTGATCTGATCTGATCTGAATTTTTCTGATCTGATCTGATCTGAATAAAATAAGAATAAGCAATAAGTAATAAGAATAAGACGAACAGAACAGCACCTGAGTGCGAAATTTCCACGATAATAAAGTTGGAAGAATATGGGTCAATGTTTCTCTAAATGAGCAATGGGCAATATGTTAATTCGGCCCATTACATTTGCTATCGGGACAATTGGAAGCATATAGAGTTCAACACCAGTCCCACTCTCAAGCCCAACTTCCCTGCTATCCTCAATTAACCTTCACAGTTCAGACATTGATCATATCAACCAACCTGGATTTCATTCGGCTCCGTGCCTCCTCTTCGGCGCCGTTCCGCATCTATCAATCCAACCAGCCAGGTATTTCATTTGGCCTTTGCAATTATCTCCAAACCAAAATTATTCCCTGTTTAAACTTATCCAGATCTGAAAGCCATTATTAGAGGGCAAAATATGTTCCACCGATTTATACAAATTTTATCGTATCTCCGATTTTTAGATTCTAGTTGGGTGTGTATGTGTGCGTGTACATATTTTTATATATTTCAAAGTTTTTTTGTGTTCGTGTTGAGCTCAAATCATCCTTTTCTCATGATTAGTGAAATAGCATTATGATAACCCATGTGTATGTTTGCTCAATTAAGCACAAACAATTTCGACTGACGTTGTTAACTTTTTTTGCCCGTCAAAAGTATATGCACATGTGTGTATTACTGTATTATGTATTTGAATATCGTCTGTCATCATAAATATTTATAACTTGTACAAACAAGCATGCTATCAGATTATTTTTGTTGTTCAAATAAATATAACTTGTATAAATTTATTCGCAGCATTGTTTATGTGCACGTATGTTATTTGCAATGTGTTTTTAATTCAATAGAATTTTACAATGCGAATTCAGTAAATTCCTAAGGATTGCATCCATTGAGTTCTTCTTGATTGTCACGATAATGAATCCATCATCTCCACCCATGGTTAAAGTTAACCAGTGAAACGCTCACCAACTTTCGAATTTTCATCACTTTATTAGTACTTGCCAAATACTTCTATGCATAAACGCACCTTGTGTTAGTATATAGATGCAACATCTCATCACACTCCCTAAAAAAACATCTCATTCACACGGAATAATTGTTTCTACATGTAATTGGGTAGGTAAGTGGAATTGTTAGAACAATGGAAGATGCAGTCTCATTGCTGGTCTCCTCTCCGTCTACATTGATCCCAAAGAAAAGGACTCTAGAGGAGTCTAATCACGAAGATACCATTGCCGGAGTACAAAGTCAATTTATCACAAAGTCAATTAAAACGGATGGTGAAAACTATCACAGCGGAGGTTTCTATGGTCATGTTTCTTTGTCGACTCTTTTCGATGATCCAGCATTGAACGTAGGCATCAATGATAACTAATAATGATTGGTTATTCAAATCATATCATTGCACACAAGCTGTTTACAATAATCTGTATTAGTGTTTCATTCAATGTCATTTTGTAGGTAAGATTACCTGGCACAAGGGATTATCCGCTTCAGGATCTCATGGAAGAAAAGAATACTCTATTATATGAAAGGATTGTTTCTCTAAGCAAAATGTCCCTTGATTTTTACGAGAAAAATCATGTATGTCAGGCTTCATTCCTCTTGTAAACTTGCATCTTAAAAATGATACTAATGACCAAATTGTTTCTATAGTGCTGATCATATCCTTCTACTCAATTTGTAGCCAGGGGAGCGGTATGAGTTTGACAGTCTGAAGGATGTGAAGAGTAAGCCTATTCTTGGCATAACATATTTCATCATCTTTTTGGCAAAAAACTTGGGGGTAGATGGTCGTTCTTCAGGAACATTTAAAGCCCGTGTAAACTGCCTTATGAGCAGCATCAAAGTGAAGGAGTGTGAGCTCATTGACTAGCTTGGGTATTGCTCTCTTTAATTACATAATGTTTATGGACAGTATTGTTTGTGTTTTAATGGTTACTAATGGTAAATATATTTATGCCACTCTTTGTAGTGATGAAATGTGAGCTGTTAAACTGGCTTGGGTATTGCTTTGTGCCTTTGGCTTCTATTTAATGAGTATTGACATATACTGTTTATGGAAATTTAATTATGTTCCAATAGTTGCTAATGATAAAACTGTTACTCTTGTATAGCCTGTGAGTATAAGTTGATCACTTTTTCTATTTGTTTTAAAATTCTGTTTATTTTCCCTTCCTGACTTTTGTTTGGTCATACTACGTATTTAACACTTAAATAATATACATTTTTGAAAGAAAAGCATTGCTGTTAAATTGTGCACCAAAATGTTCAAGTCAACTTTATAACAACAAGGAAGAATATTAAAGATGATAAATCCTACTATAACTAATGTCAAGATGTTAACTAAATGTCATCTTAGCAACATTCCCCAACATTAATATATAAAGGAAGAAAATAAATATTATTATAACTAATGTCGAGATGTTAACTAATTGTCATCTTAGCAACACTCCCCAACATTAATATAGAGATAGTATTAGGGGAAAAATTAATATTCAAGGAAGAAGATTAAAGAAAATAACTCACAACTTACAATTAATTAAGTTTCGAAGTGGCAAAACCAAGATGGAAGAGTTTAGCTCCTCATTTGGAGACTAAACATGATAGAAAATATAAAGAAAACACTAATCTAAACTGAGCTAAAGAGTATATGTGAATTGGTCATTTTATTGGGAAGGAAAGGAGTGTATTTATAGGCTTTTGGGAGCTGTAGGGTCTGATACCCGACCGGATATATAGGATACCAGACCGGGTATCTTAGGAAATTGCCCAGAAAGTTACTTTTTGAGCATACCCGATCGAGTAAGGGTATATACCCGATCGGGTATGTGATAAATCTTTATGAAAATTTGCTCCCACGATCATTTGTCTTCGGATTTGATTTGGACGGTCGAATCAAGCAATTACCCGATCGGGTATAGGCAATACCCGACCGGGTTACTGGGTACATGAGTATTTTTTCCAAATCGAAATCTTTCTTGCCTCCTTGCACTTTCCTTGATCTTTTAAGGTCCAATCTTGATTTCTTGGATGATCTTTGACCTGTTTAGCTCAGAACTAATAAAAACTAGTTAAAAATACAAACATACAATCAGAAATTACATGAATATCAGTACTCTTCAAATATTCCTTAGAGCCTCATTGGTTGAGGGCTGAAAAATTCCAGCCATAAACTAGAAAATCTTCTTCATCACATTCAGGTTCGTGGTTGTCCTCCAAAAACTCCTCTTGCCCTGTTATTTCGCAATAGCCATGTTGTTGCAGGTCAAGTTCTTCATCTTCTTCTGCTAGCATCACCTTTAATTATGTTGTTTGAGAGGGAAATCATGCCCTAGTGTAAAAGGTTTCCGACACTTGAAGCAAAATCCCTTGGCCGCCGCGATTTCCGCGAGCTGGGCGCCCTTTTCTTCTAATTTATGTCCTTGAGCGTCAATTTTCTGATTGATTAGGGCCTGCTAAGCCTCCATCTCAGTCAGTCGATCATTCTTAGATCTCGTCATTCCGGCGGGACGGGATCCAGTATGTCGGGCCAATTGATGAGAGCAGAAATGAACAATCTAAAAACAATATAATTATGAATGAGGGTTGGTACCCCTGAATTATGTCAACACACTTGGTGCATAAGTTGTTGTACATTGTTATTAGAAGATGAAACCCTATTTTTTCCATGGTCTGTTTTACCCTTACGGTCCGTGAGCTTTAAACTTCCGTTACAGAGTAGTTTTCTTTTTCTACATAAGCTGCATAGAGCGCATTAAACGAGAAAAGAACCATCATACGGAGTACTTTTTCTTTTTCTATGTATAATTGTATATGTATTAATGTATACCACGTATACTCCGTACTACGTATTGAAATTTACCAAAGTAATTTTCTCCTAAACGCCACCTGTGTAACTTCTTTTATGTTACAGATAAGTTTTCTTTTTCTCTGTATACTACGTGTCTACGTATAGCCATAATAGTTCTTTACTTTTGTAAAAATAATACACGTATTGAAAGTTGTGAGAGTTCTAGTGAAATTTATGAAGTTCTGACTAAAGTAACTCTAGTTGGCTGATTCATGAATAAATTATATGACCTCCGTCCCGTAAAAAAGTTCTCACTTTCCTTTTATGAATATCCCAAAATAAGTTTCCATTTCTTTTAAAGGAAACTACTTTTAAGCAAAAAGACACAATTACTCTTACTTTTTATCTACCTTTTCTTGATTTGATAAAAAATAAGAATATACATGGAAAGTCAAAATTAAACTTTATCCTATATAAATATATGTGTAGGTCAAACCGGGAACTTCATTGCGGGATGAAGGGAGTATTTAAAATATATTTTATTAATAAAATAAAAAAAAATTATATGCAAAAATAGCTAAAATATTCATCTACAATAACTTCAGTCAATACAGCTAGAAAAATAACTACAACCTTACCTTTTGCTATTATTACTCAATTCAGCACACGAAATAAAAAATTACGTGTTTGGTTAAAATATTGACTGATAAGACGAAAAACAGAGTCACCAAAGGGGCTTGCTATATAAAATTTCATTAGTTATTTACGAAATTCTCCTAACAATTTTTTTATACAAAAGACAACGTTATTTTAGTTTTGGACAAACACTCTCGCGCCTTGCGCGAGTAATCGCTAGTAATAATAATAAGCATGATTGGAATAACCCTCTCAAGGGGAAATAAATAGCCTACTAGTTCTAATTAATGTAGAAGTCGTAATTAAAACATACTAGGAAATTAGATAGAATAGGAAGTCTCTAATCTTAATTAAAATATATTGTGAAACTAAATAGAAAAGGAAGCCTCTAATTCTAATAAGAATAAAAGTCCTAAATAAACCATACTTAGCAATAAAATAAATTAGGAAACATAATAAAAAGAATAATTAAAATAACTAGAACCAGCCCACGAAGTTGAGCTCAAGCCCGTTCCCGTCTATGGTAGCCCGTTCCCGTCTATGGTAGATCAACAGTGGTCTGAGGCCTGGATCTGCTTCATGTGCTCGTCCGTGCTCTCTATCAACACAAAAAAGAGATTTAAGGGCATATATACCCTTTGGTGACAATTGGGGTGTCCCTTTTCCCATTAAAAAAATACATTAAAGTCCATCTATTATGATGTATCATGCATATATTAGTTTAGAAAAACAAATTATATGTTATACGGAAGATAAACAAAAGTCATTATTTTACTTATAGTATTTAGACATATAGAGAAAAATTTATATCCATGTTCAATCATAACATTAACAAATGAGTTTTTTGAATTTAAATTTATCAATATATTATGGTATAATTTATATATAAGGACGACTTTCGCAAACTAAATCTTTTATTCATACTCACAAAATGTAAGAACCATTTATTTTAATACAATAAAATCTATACTATTTACATTCGGAAATACAATAAATGTCACCCTGGAGCAACACCTGGCCTAAACGCTAGTTATTTAAATAATCCATGATTTTTTGAATTCATAGACTTTTCGTACATGACTTCTCTTGACTAGTTATCGGAAAGGGATAATTAGTTTGACTAGCAATCAACAAAGGAAACTCTACTAAACAAAAATTGTTTGTATCATTAGTTTGACCACCCACCAAAACAAGATCCAGTTGATAACTTAAGATCCAGTGGAAAAAATTCTTTTTTCCAGAGTAAGACAGTGCGGTTCAGGTGGAGGAAAAGTAATTGAAGGTTCAGTGTGGTTCATAACTTAAGATCTGGATTATTCCTCCTATAAGGTTAATCTTTTGGATGGAGCCTCGGCTCTTAACACGGTATCAGAGCCAAGTCCGGTTATGATTTGGCTGTTGTATACGAACCGAATCGAGTCGAATAATGAGATTTTGTATTTGTATTTGTTTATTTTTTTCGAATACGAATTCGAATTCAAATATGAAACGAATATTAATTTCGATTTGTATTTGTATTTGTTTAACAATACGAATAGTTAACGAATTATATACGAATATCGAATCGATTTGAGCATAGGTTAAATATTAGTCAAATACGGAGTGTCACTTTAAAATAACTTTTCTTATACTCTGTATTGTTTATGTTGTAAATGCATGCGATGACTTAATATGTGTTCTTAGAATAAAAATTTAATGGATAAATGCGTTTTTAGATGTTGCACAATATACTAAAGTGAATTAATTTTATGATTAATAAATATAAATCTATTTCAAACCTTTTGAGATAAACACTAACACACACATATCAGAAATTATACTTATATTGTGTGAAATAAGTTGACAATTGTATATATCAAAGTCAAACAACTCTAATTTTATTCTTCAAATCGAATACATAATTATTTGTTTTGTATTTGAAAGACATTTGAACCAAAAAATTGATTTGTATTCGTATTTATATTCTGATTTATTACATATAGGCTTCAAATATGTATGCAAAAATGTATATATGGGCTACACGTTGAGAATATTGCTATCTTTTAAAAGTTATTATAGTGTTATTACTATTATTATTATTAATATTGATATTAATACTACCACTATTATTAATCGAATATATTTGATTAATATTCGAATCGAATACACTGATATTCTTATTTGTATTTGATAAAAACTCGAATCAAATTTAATATTCTTATTTGTATTTGTATTTGAATTTTGCGAATTCGAATCGTCTTATACGAATTTGAATCGCAAATCGAGCACAAATTATTTGATTCGTTTACAACCCTACTTGTTTAGCACTCTTGATTAAGGGTAGCTTCTTAAGGGTTTGTTTGGTCCATTTATACACCTCGATATTGTCCTTCCCAGCTTCACACCAAATCTCATTAAGATAAACAAACTGGTTGAGTGACTTGAGTCATATTTCGAAATAGTAACATACACATAAAATAGATTTCCATTAGACCAGATCAGAACAAACCACAGTTTAACCAGATGAAATTAGATCTGACCAAAAATATTCTTAGCATCTAGAAACATTTTAAATAGTTATTAAAATAAAAAGGAAGAAATTTTTTTTTAGTATATGAGATTATTTTTTTTGGCAAATCTTTCTAACATATAACAGTATATGTTCTGTTAAATCCAACATCCTTGAACTGAGAAGAGGTTTGAACCTGTGAACTTCTCTTTGAAAGTTTCACAGTGATGTCATTAGATTACAAGATACTTGGCATAT